AACTTATGCATATCAACTTTCTTCCTCATTTTGAGTGTGTTAGTAAAGCATTGGTTAGTAAAGCATTAGTAAAGCATTGGTTTCTACCTTTGAATGAGCTTGATATGAATTACCCGTTGCCACTCTGGGCTATTGAGGATGTCTACTAAGCTCTCTCTCTCTTTTTTTTTTTTTTTTTTTTTTTGAGACAGAGTCTCGCTTTGTTGCCCAGGCTAGAGTGAGTGCCATGGCGTCAGCCTCGCTCACAGCAACCTCAATCTCCTGGGCTCAAGCGATCCTCCTGCCTCAGCCTCCCGAGTAGCTGGGACTACAGGCATGTGCCACCATGCCGGGCCAATTTTTGTATATATATTTTAGTTGGTCAATTAATTTCTTTCTATTTTTGGTAGAGACGGGGTCTCCCTCAGGCTGGTTTCGAACTCCTGACCTTGAGCAATCCGCCCGCCTCAGCCTCCCAAAGTGCTAGGATTACAGGCGTGAGCCACCGCGCCCGGCCTAAGCTCTCTTTTTACTCATATAAAAATGTATAGATGGGTACAACATGAAATTTCCAATTGTTTATGGTGATGCTTTCAGCTTTGTTTCAATCTAAGGTCCCAATAATTTTTGAGCCATGATTGTCTCTTGGGAGTCTGCTGAAGCCTATGGACCCTTTTTAGAGTAACGCTTTTAAATGCATAAAATAAAATCATAGCATTACATAGAAAAACAATTATATTGATATGTGGCTAACCAAATATTTTTAAAACACAAAGTTGTGGTATAGGAACATTTCTGACTCTTTAATAAATTATTGAACACTGAGACCTAGCAGCAGGTCTAACAACTATTATACTGACTAACGTAAAAGTTATTTCAAGATATCTGCAACCACTGTAATATAATATGAAAATATCTATGATTTCCATGGACAACAAAGTCAGAAGTTCTTCTTCTACTACTGCTGTTGGTGGCAAACATAATGGAAGGTCATACTGTATTTCTGTTAGAAGTAACTGAAAATGAAG